GTAAACCCTAAAGTCAATAAAAAGGGGGTCAGTACCTCAGTCAGGGAAAAAAGGTTTGCCCAGTACCCCCAGTCAGGGTTAGAAGGTTTTCATTCCCTTTAGTCATGAAAGAAGGTGTCAAGTACCCCCAGTCATGATAGGGTGGTCAGTACCTCGGGTCTTTATAAAAGGTAGCAGTACCCTAAAGTCATGATAGGGGTGGTCATTTCCCCTCGTCAGGGTAAAAGGAGTCAGTACCCCCATTTCATGTTTAAGGTTTGGTCAGTACCTCAGCATGTTAGGGGGGTTTCAGTACCTCAGTAATGTTAGGGGTGGTCAGTACCTCAGTCATGTTTGAAGGTGGTCAGTACCTCAGTCATGATAGAAGGGGGTCAGTCCTCAGTCAGATAGAAGGTGGTCAGTACCTAAGTCATGTTTGGGTGGTCAGAAACCTCAGCCCAGTTTTGGAAGGTGGAAAGAAACCTCAGTCATGATAGAAGGTGGTCAGTACCTCAGTCATGATAAAAGGGGGGCCCATTAAACCCTCAGTAAATGATTAAGGGTGGTCAGTACCCCCAGTCATGATAGAAGGTGGTCAGTACCTCAGTCAGTTTAAAAAGGTGGTCAGTACCTCGCATGATAAAAGGGTTTAGTCAGTCCCTCAGTCATAAATAAAAGGGTTCAGTCCCTTTCAGTCTTGATAGAAGGTGGTCAGTACCTCACCCTGATAAAAAGGTTTTTCAGACCTCATCTTGTTAGGGGGTTCATACCTCGGGTAAAGATAAAAGGGGCAGTACCTCAGTCATAAAATAAAAGGTGGTCAGTCCCTAAAATGATAGAAGGGGGTTTCAGTACCTCAGTAAAGATAGAAGGTGGTCAGTACCTCAGTCAGATAAAAAGGTGGTCAGAAAACCTCATCATGATAAAGGTTCAGTACCTCAGTCAAAAATAGAAGGTAGTCAGTACCTCTTTTCCATGATAGGGGGGGTCAGTACCCAGTCATAAATAAAAGGGGTTTCGTCCCTCACATGATAAAAGGGGTGGTCGTACCTCAGTCATGATGGGAAGGGGGTCAGTCCCTCGCCTGTTAGAAAAAAAAAGCCCCAGTACCCCCCAGTCATGATAAAGGTGGTCGTACCTCAGTCATGATAGGGGTGGTCAGTACCTCAGTCATGATAGAAGGTAGTCAAAACCTCAGTCATGATAGGGTGGCCCCGTACCTCATTTCATGATAAAAGGGTTTGGTCAGAACCTCGGGCATGATAGGTGGTATTTCCCTCAGTCATGATAAAGGTGGTCGTCCCCTCAGTCAGGGATGGGTGGTCAGTACCTCAGTCATGATAGAAGGTTCAGTACCTCAGTCATTTTTGGTGGCGTACCTCAGTCATGATAGGGGACAGTACCTCATTCTTTGATAGGGTGGTCAGTACCTCAGTCATGATAGGGGTAGTGGGACCTCAGTCATGTTAGGGGGTCGTACTCAGTCATGAATAGGGTGGTCAGTACCTCAGTCTTTGTTTGGTTTGGTCGGGTCCCTCAGCATGATAGGGGTGGTCAGTACCTCAGTCATGGATAGGGTTCGGGGTACCCCCAGTCAGATAGGGTGGTCGAAACCCTAAAGTCATGAAAAATGTGGGTCAGTTTACCCCCCAGTCATGATGGGTGGTAAGTCCCTCAGTCATGAAAGAAGGTGGTCAGACCTCATTTAAATGATGGGGGTTTTCAGTCCCCTCAGTCATGATAAAGGTGGTCGTATCGTCATGTTTAAAAAGGTGGTCAGTACCTCAGCTGATAGAAGGTGGTCAGTACCTCATTTCCATGATAAAAGGTGGTCTTTACTCAGTCATGATAGGGGAAACAGTACCTCAGCGGGAATAAAAGGGTGGTAGAAAACCTCAGTCATGATAGAAGGTGGTCATTTCCCCAGTCATGATAGAAGGTGGTCAAAACCTCATCATAAATAGAAGGTGGTCAGTCCCTCGTCATGATAAAGGGGTTGGTCGTACCTCGTCATGATAAAGGGGTGGTCATTACCTAGTCTTTGTTAGAAGGTAGTCAGTACCTCAGTCATGATAGAAGGTGGTCAGTACCTCATTTCATGATAGAAGGTAGTCTTTTACCTCAGTCATAAATTGAAGGGGGGTCAGTACCTCAGTCATGATAGAAGGAAAGCCCGAAACCTCAGTCAAAAGGGGGAATATATAGGGGGGGGCATGTGGGTTAGTCCCTCAGCCCAGGAAAAAAAGGTTCAGCCCCCTTCAGTATGATAGAAGGTGGTCATACCTCAGTCATGAAGAAGGTTTTCAGTACCTCAGTCATGATGGGAATGTGGTCAGTACCTCAGTCATGATTGAAGGTGGTTCGTCCCCTCAGTCATGAAAAAGGTTTTCAGTACCTCAGTCAAAAAAGAAGGGGTCAGTCCCTCACCATGATAGAAGGTGGGTCAGCCTCAGCATGATAGAAGGGGTTTCGGGACCTAAAGGCCCATGATAAAAGGGGGGGGTCAGTACCTCAGTCTGATAAAAGGGTTGGCCCAGTACCTCAGTCATGATAAAAGGGGTCAGTCCCTCAGTATGATAAAAGGGGTGGTCAGTACCATCTGATAGAAGGTGGTCAGAACCTCGGCAAAATAGAAGGGGTCAGTACCTCAGTCTTTGATAAAAAGGTGGTCAGTACCTCAGTCATGAAAAAGGGTTTAGTCATACCCGTCATAAAGAAGGTGTCGTACCTCAGTCATGATGGGTGGTCAGTACCTCAGTCATGAAGAAGGAGTCATTTACCAGCCCATGATGGGGAAAGAAATTTTTTCAGTACCTCAGTCATGATGAAGGTGTCAGTCCCTCAGTCATGAAGGTGGTCAGTCCCTCAGTCATGATAAAAGGGTAGTCAGTACCTCATCATGAGGGGTGGTCGTACCTCGTCTAAAAAGAAGGTGGTCGTACCTCGGGCCCATGTTTAAATGTTCGCCCCGTCAGTAAGGGGGAAAGGGGAAAAGGTTTGTCAGTACCTCAGTAAAAGATAGAAGGTGGTCATTCCCTTCAGTCATGATAAAAGGGTGGTCGTCCCTCAGTATGTTAAAAAGGGGGGGTCAGTCCTCAGTCATGATAAAAGGTGGTCAGTACCTCTACATTTAGAAGGTAGTCAGTACCTAAAGTCATGATAAAAGGGTTTAGCAGTCCCCTCAGCCCAATGATAGAAGGTGGGGCCCGAAACCCTCAGCCCCATGATAGGGGGCATACCCAGTAAAGATAGGGGGGGGTAAATTTCCTCAGTCATGTTAGGTGGTCAGTACCTCAGCCCAATGAAGGAAAGTCAGACCTCAGTATGATAGGGGGCAGTACCCTCCCCCCTTTGATAGGTGGTCATTTACCCCCAGTATGTTTAGAAGGTAGTCAGTCCCTCAGTCATGATGGGTGGTCAGTACCTCAGTCTTGATAAAAGGGTTTGGTCAGTACCTCAGTCATGATAGGTGGTCATTTCCCCCAGTATGTGGGTTGGTCATACCTCATTTCAGGGGATAAAAAGGTGGTCATACCTCAGTCATGATAGGGTTTTATTTCGAAACCTCATTAAAGATGGGTGGTCAGTACCTCAGTCTGATGGTAGTCAGTACCTCAGTCATAAATTAAAAGGGTTTTGGTCAGAAACTCAGTCTTGTTTTGGGGTTTGGTCGGGTACCTCAGTCATGTTTAAGGGGGTCAGAAACCTCAGTCATATAAAAGGGGGTTCCGTACCTCAGTCTTTATAGGGTTTCAGTACCTCAGTCAGGGATAGGGTGGTCAGTACCCGTCATGATGGGTGGTCAAAACCTCGTCATGATAAAAGGGTGGTCAGTACCTCAGTCTTTAATAAGGTGGTCGTCCCCTCAGCATGTTAAAAGGTAGTCAGTACCTCAGTCATGAAAAATTGGTCAGTACCTCAGCATGTGGTATTTCAGTCCCTCAGTCAGGGAAGGGGTTTATCATCCCTAAACCTTTAACACTGACACCCCCCCGTGGGGTATTTTACCCCCCCAAATAAAAGGAACCCAGGGGGCCGCACGCGTCCCCCCCCCAAAAAAAAAACAACCCAGGGGTTTCCCCCCCAAAAATCCCCCCCCCGGGGGGGCCACGGGGTCTGGCCACGGGGGCCATCGGCCCAAAAAAATTCGGGGGCATATGTTGGCGTGTCCTGGTTTCGTACCCCATCTTAGCAGGAAGTAAGAAAAACTGGGATGGGGATCCTTGTCTAAAAATCACTTCCTATTTCTTTAGAAAATGCTAAACCCCAAGGGGTTAGCTCCCCTGGGTTAAAAAACCCCTCCCAGGTTAAAATTCACCTTGTTGTTACAGGCGGTAAAGGGCCCGACTTCCTGGCGCAAACCAGATTTACCTAACTTACCACCTGGACGGGTTTCGTGAGGTGAGCCCCAAGTAAATTTTGGGTGCATTTAAGCGACCCTAGGTGATCTAGATTAATATAGGCGTTTCCCGGGGGGAAGAAAGCCGTTATAGGTGAGTCAAGGTGACTTTAAAAATGATTTCTTTGTGAATTGGGATAATTTTAAGGGGTTTCTAAGTGAGAAAAGGGGTGAATCTGGGTGTTTTTTTTTAGGTGAGTCTAGGTGAATTTTAACGCGTTCTTGTTGAATGAAAGTGAATCAAAGGGGGAGCCTAGGTGATTTCTAAGTGAGCCCTAGGTGATCTAGGGGGCCTAGGTGAGTCTGGTGAATCAAATAAACCCTAGTTTGAAACTTGGTGATTCTGGGTAAATAGAAGTTCTAGAAGAATCTTGGTGAATTTAGATGAATGCTGGTCATTATAGGTGAGTCTAGGTGAGTGTAGATGAGTCTAGGTAAGTCTTATTCTAGATGAGTGTAGACAAGTCTAGGTGAGTCTTGGTGAGTCTATATGAGTCTAGGTGAGTGTAGATGAATCTAGTTGAGGCTGTGTGAGTCTAGGTGAGTGTAGATGAGTCTAGGTGAGTGTAGTGGTGGGTACGCAGGTTCACCTCAATAGTAACAATCTTGTATATTTCGACAGTACCCCAAACCATCTTCAGTGAGATTAAGAAATTCAAGGAGCCTTGTCAGCACTGTCAGTGATCCACCGTCAGCACCTGTCAGCTCTGTCAGGAACGGCGTACCAAGTAGGTAGGTACCTTGTTCCTGATACCACTGTAAGGTACCTTGTTCCATTAACCATCCAAGCAGCCTTAATGACCCTCGTGTAGTAGATAGACTTAAAACCCCATTAACCAACCAACCAGTCTTAATGACCCTGGTGTAGTAGATAGACTTTAAACCCCATTAACCAACCAACCAGTCTTAATGACCCTGGTGTAGTAGATAGACTTTAAACCCCATTAACCAACCAACCAGTCTTAATGACCCTGGTGTAGTAGATAGACTTTAAACCCCATTAACCAACCAACCAGTCTTAATGACCCTGGTGTAGTAGATAGACTTTAAACCCCATTAACCAACCAACCAGTCTTAATGACCCTGGTGTAGTAGATAGACTTTAAACCCCATTAACCAACCAACCAGTCTTAATGACCCTGGTGTAGTAGATAGACTTTAAACCCCATTAACCAACCAACCAGTCTTAATGACCCTGGTGTAGTAGATAGACTTTAAACCCCATTAACCAATCAACCAGTCTTAATGACCCTGGTGTAGTAGATAGACTTTAAACCCCATTAACCAACCAACCAGTCTTAATGACCCTGGTGTAGTAGATAGACTTTAAACCCCATTAACCAACCAACCAGTCTTAATGACCCTGGTGTAGTAGATAGACTTTAAACCCCATTAACCTAGTAACCATCTTTGACAGGTCACACATGGAGGCGGTAGATGGTGGACGAGGTGTGGCCCTGACTAGCCACACACTTCACCAAGCTATTGAGAGTAGTGACGGTTCACCAGAGGACGTTACCAGGTCGACTGATGTTAGTGCTGGGACGAGCAGGGAGTCGAACCGTGACCCTGGTGTGCTGGTGCCTTACACCGTCTATGATGTGACTTCGTCACAGACCTCTGGAGTGCCTTCGTCACAGACCTCTGGAGTGCTTTCGTCACAGACCTCTGGAGTGGCCTCGTCACAGACTTCTGGAGTGGCCTCATCACAGACTTCTGGAGTGGCCTCATCCCAGACCTCCAGCACACTGCAGGACTCTGGATATGTGGTACCCATCTTCCCTGATGATACACTCTCTCCACCACCCATAAAAGTAAGCAGTTCACTTGAGAATCTGACCACTATGTTGATGAACAAGACCCTGACATCTGGATACGTCGCTGTGGAACCACGTCACTTTGCTGCTGAAGCAAGCAGTGACACTGCTGTAGCAAACAGTGACACTGCTGTAACAAGCAGTGACACTGCTGTAGCAAGCAGTGATCTTACGCCCCATGGAACGAGAAAACTTATAAATTTAGATGACACGGAGACAAGTGGCTACGATATTACAGATCCACAACATTTCTGGTCTGAAAGTATACCTCCGGGTACAGGCTATGTTGCAGTACCACCACCTGACTTTGGTACGCTGCCCCAGGCAACAGACATTGCTAGCCATGACAGGGCACAACACAGGGACCCACAGTCATGGCTTGTGTCTACCCCAGAGAAAGACAGCAGCAAGAAAGGATATATAATGCTAGATTTCCTTGTAGGAAACAGAGATGACCATCCCTCATCCCAGGAGCAAGCATCATCACCTACACCCTTATTGCTCGCTGGAGAGCGTGATTCTGGAGATGGATCTTGCAAGTACAGCTCTCAGTTTGCAGAATCAATGCCATATATCAATTTCAACGAGGCTATGAGAACTTTTACAGCGGAAGATGCAGCAGGAACTGTTGCAGAGGAACTTACGCAGCTACTCAGTGTTGCACCTTCTCCAGGTTATGTTGCTATCCAGCCACCAGACTTCGGTGCGCCAAGACAGTGCACCAGCCAGGACACTCTGGAAGACACCGTGCACGATTTAGCAAGTGAAACTCACAGATCTAACGAAGATAAGATCATTCTTAACCCTAAACCCGTAATGCAGCCACTGACTGACCCTGTCAACCATCCCACAACACCCACACTGCTACAGGTAGATCCAGGGACATCCACCAGAGGGTTCAACAAAGGTTCTGGGTCCACGAATGAGGCATCTGTGGATAATATTGGTGCTGGCAGCAGTGGGTATGTAGCACTCCCAATACCTCACCAGGTACAAGCCTGGGATGCCCTCTCCAGTGATGGATGCCCTCGTGGATCTATCGACACGTCACGTCTTATCACAGGACAACACGACCCATCACAATACCTCACTACCAGACCACAAGACCCCCCGCAATACCTCACTACCAGACCACAAGACCCCCCGCAATACCTCACTACCAGACCACAAGACCCCCCGCAATACCTCAATACCAAATCACAAAACCCCCAAGAACCAGAATACCTCACCTTGAAAGACCTTGTGAAATACGACAGCCATCCTGGTACCCCAGTACTAAATGGCAAGAAGACTGATACCACACTAGTGACTAGTGATACCACAACACCAGTGACTAGTGATACCACAACACCAGTGACTAGTGATACCACAACACCAGTGACTAGTGATACCACAACACCAGTGACTAGTGATACCACAACACCAGTGACTAGTGATACCACAACACCAGTGACTAGTGATGGTAGCTGCAGTAACGAGAGCCACGGTGTGGTGTTGAGAAGAAAGAGATCAGTATCAGAGGGAACTCTCGTAGGCTACAGTAGAGTTGGAACTTCCTCTTACTCCTGAACTTTCATCTTGAAATTGAACTTGTTATCTGCAAACTGAACTTGTTGTCTTTATACTTTTCGTCTTAAATGGAGCTTTCAGCCTTAAATGGAGCTTTCAGCCTTAAATGGAACTTTCAGCCTTAAATGGAACTTTCAGTCTTAAATGGAACTTTCAGTCTTAAATGGAACTTTCAGTCTTAAATGGAACTTTCAGCCTTAAATGGAACTTTCAGCCTTAAATGGAACTTTCAGTCTTAAATGGAACTTTCAGCCTTAAATGGAACTTTCAGTCTTAAATGGAACTTTCAGCCTTAAATGGAACTTTCAGTCTTAAATGGAACTTTCAGTCTTAAACAGAACTACCAGCGTTAAACGGAACTTTCAGTTTAAATGGAACTTCAGTTTAAAGAACTTCAGCTTAAACAGAACTATCAGTGTTAAACGAACTTCCAGCGTTAAAGAACTCAGTTAAACTAGGAACTTTCAGTGTTAAAGAACTTCAGCTTAAAGGGAACTTTCAGTTTAAATGAACTTTCAGTTTAAATGGAACTTTCAGTCTTAAATGGAACTTTCAGTCTTAAACAGAACTACCAGTGTTAAACAGAACTATCAGTGTTAAACAGAACTACCAGTGTTAAACAGAACTACCAGTGTTAAACAGAACTACCAGTGTTAAACAGAACTACCAGTGTTAAACAGAACTATCAGTGTTAAACAGAACTACCAGTGTTAAACAGAACTACAGTGTTAAACAGAACTACAGTGTTAACAGAACTACCAGTGTTAAACAGAACTACCAGTGTTAAACAGAACTACCAGCGTTAAACAGAACACTACCAGTGTTAAACAGAACTACCAGCGTTAAACAGAACTACCAGCGTTAAACAGAACTACCAGTGTTAAACAGAACTACCAGCGTTAAACAGAACTACCAGCGTTAAACAGAACTACCAGCGTTAAACAGAACTACCAGTGTTAAACAGAACTATCAGTGTTAAACAGAACTACCAGCGTTAAACAGAACTATCAGTGTTAAACAGAACTACCAGCGTTAAACAGAACTACCAGTGTTAAACAGAACTACCAGTGTTAAACAGAACTACCAGCGTTAAACAGAACTATCAGTGTTAAACAGAACTACCAGTGTTAAACAGAACTACCAGCGTTAAACAGAACTATCAGTGTTAAACAGAACTATCAGTGTTAAACAGAACTACCAGCGTTAAACAGAACTATCAGCTGTTAAACGAACTACAGTGTTAAACAGAACTACCAGCGTTAAACAGAACTATCAGTGTTAAACAGAACTATCAGTGTTAAACAGAACTACCAGCGTTAAACAGAACTATCAGCGTTAAACAGAACTATCAGTGTTAAACAGAACTACCAGCGTTAAACAGAACTATCAGTGTTAAACAGAACTATCAGTGTTAAACAGAACTATCAGCGTTAAACAGAACTATCAGTGTTAAACAGAACTATCAGTGTTAAACAGAACTATCAGCGTTAAACAGAACTATCAGTGTTAAACAGAACTATCAGTGTTAAACACAGCTATCAGTCTTAAAGACATGTTAACCTACAATAACACAGATTAACCCATATTAACATAGATTTAACTTGTATTTTCTTATACCAGAGACCTGTTTCAGTCCCTCTGGTCTGAGACCAGCCTGCCTGGTGGCCCAAACTGTCAATTCTGGCAGCCTACATGCCACCACAGCCTGCCTGATCACCGCTATTTTATATTTTAAGTACAGACTTATATAAGTTATCCATACCCCGGTGGGGATAGAACCCGCGGTCATAGAGTCTCAAAACTCCAGACCGTCGCGTTAGCCACTGGACCAGCTAGCCACAATAAGATTCATCCAACTAGGTATATTTCTACACCATAGGAAGGTTAGCATAGGCCACCACTGTGACCACAAATGCAAGTTTTTTTACAGACGAATCTCCAGCTAGCGTGGCCGTGACGAACTCTAGCTCAAGTCCCTTCACTGCCGTCAACATGACTCACGAAATCGTAATCGTCTGGAGTTTTGAGACTCTCTGACCGCGAGTTCAATCCCGGCCGGGGTATGGTTTGTTTCCAATCGTGTCATTACGATTTCGTGAGTCAGTAATATGAGTTATCTTTAATATTAACGTATATAATACAAAATACTGGAGTATACTGTATGTATGTTGTATGTATATTATCGTGCAGTGTATATACACTGAGATATACACCTCTCAGTGTATATACACTGAGATATACACTCTCAGTCTATATACACTGAGATATACACCTCTCAGTGTATATACACTGAGATATACACCTCTCAGTGTATATACACTGAGATATACACCTCTCAGTGTATATACACTGAGATATACACCTCTCAGTGTATATACACTGAGATATACACCTCTCAGTGTATATACACTGAGATATACACCTCTCAGTGTATATACACCAAACTGTGACTAACTATACATATTTCTGTATAAGACAGGATAATTTACGATAACCTAGGATGACCTAGGATAAGCTAGGATAACCGCTAGAGGTAAGAGTGCTAGTTTCTGGGTGGTTCAAGCAAGGGAGCGGCGGTTCGACCCCCTCCACACACGATTACATAAGCACAGTACAAATAAGGAGATTTGTTTTCCAGGACGGTATTAAAGAATTGACTTTAAACCTGTGATAAATATTTTTATTTTCCTTTATCCTGGGTTATCTTGGGCTAATCTGGGTTATCCTGGGCTATCCTGGGTTACCCTGAGCTATCCTGGGTTACCCTGGACTATCCTGGGTTATCCTGGACTATCCTGGGTTATTCCGGGCTATCCTGGGTTATCCCGGGCTATCCTGGGTTATCCTGGGCTATCCTGGGTTATCCTGGGCTATCCTGGGTTACCCTGAGCTATCCTGGGTTATCCCGGGCTATCCTGGGTTATCCTGGGCTATCCTGGGTTATCCTGGGCTATCCTGGGTTACCCTGAGCTATCCTGGGTTACCCTGTACTATCCTGGGTTATCCTGGACTATCCTGGGTTACCCTGGACTATCCTGGGTTATCCTGGACTATCCTGAGTTATCCTGGGTTATTCTGGGCTATCCTGGGTTACCCTGAGCTATCCTGGGTTACCCTGTACTATCCTGGGTTATCCTGGACTATCCTGGGTTACCCTGGACTATCCTGGACTATCCTGGGTTATCCTGGACTATCCTGGGTTATCCCGGGCTATCCTGAGTTATCCTGGGTTACCCTGAGCTCTCCTGGGTTACCCTGGGCTATCCTGAGCAATGGGCTACCCTGGGTTATCCTGGGTTTATCGTCTATTATGGGTTATCCTGGGTTATTCTGGACTATCCTGCGTTACCCTGGCCTACCCTGGGTTATCCTGGGTGTTAGTCTGCTAACACCTACTGTCTAATACACAACTTTCTTGTATGAATCTTAGTGGTGGCTTCATCTCCTCCCTTAAGTCAAAGTGACCTGACCTGACTAGGTTGGGTGCATTGGCTTAAGCCGGTAGGAGACTTGGACCTGCCTCGCATGGGCCAGTAGGCCTGCCGCAGTGTTCCTTCATTCTTATGTTCGTCTCTGTAGACGCCGCCTTCCTCTCCCACATTGTAAGATGCTCCAGACTTCACAAGACCCGTGACTTAACCTAACTCCCGGTGGCCCGGTGGCCTGGTGGCTAAAGCTCCCGCTTCACACACGGAGGGCCCGGGTTCGATTCCCGGCGGGTGGAAACATTCCGACACGTTTCCTTACACCTATTGTCCTGTTCACCTAGCAGCAAATAGGTACCTGGGTGTTAGTCGACTGGTGTGGGTCGCATCCTGGGTGTTAGTGGACTGGTGTGGGTGGCATCCTGGGTGTTAGTGGACTGGTGTGGGTGGCATCCTGGGTGTTAGTGGACTGGTGTAGGTGGCATCCTGGGTGTTAGTGGACTGGTGTGGGTGGCATCCTGGGGGACAAGATTAAGGACCACAATGGAAATAAGTTAGACAGTCCTCGATGACGCACTGACTTTCTTGGGTTATCCTGGCTGGCTAACCCTCCGGGGTTAAAAATCCCAACGAAATCTTATCTTATCTTATCTCCTCATTTTATCGTCTTCTCCCCCTTTCCTCTTTCGTTCTTTTCTCTCCCCTGGGTTGTCTTTCTTCTGTCTCGTGTTTCTGTTTGTTTATTATTTATTGTATCACTTCCCCTTCCCCCCCACCTCTGTGTTCTTGTTCTCCCTCTGTGGGCACCTAGCTCCCTTGTGGGCACCTGGCTCCCTTGTGGGCACCTAGCTCCCTTGTGGGCACCTGGCTCCCTTGTGGGCACCTAGCTCCCTTGTGGGCACCTAGCTCCCTTGTGGGCACCTGGCTCCCTTGTGGGCACCTGGCTCCCTTGTGGGCACCTGGCTTCCTTGTGGACACCTGGCTCCCTTGTGGACACCTGGCTCCCTTGTGGGCACCTAGCTCCCTTGTGGGCACCTAGCTCCCTTGTGGGCACCTAGCTCCCTTGTGGGTACCTAGCTCCCTTGTGGGCACCTAGCTCCCTTGTGGGCACCTAGCTCCCTTGTGGGCACCTAGCTCCCTTGCAGTGCTCCCCTGTCTTTGTATTTGACTGGCTCGCTCCTCCTTAATTCCCCACTACTACCACTACCACTACTACCACTACTACTACTACTACTACTACTACTACTACCACTACCACTACTACTACTACTACTACTACTACTACTACTACTACTACTACCACCACCACCACCTCTTCCTGCCTATATATAGCCGTCCTGCTCCAATTCTGGTTAGTGTGACTTTGTAAATGGTCCCAGTCGGACCGAAACGTCGTCGTAAGCTCCTTTCTTCTATGCGAGTTATTTGTGTATTGTTCCAGTCACGGTATTGTGTCTTTTTTTGTTATTTAGCAAGTAGGTACCTGGGTGTTAGTCTACTAACATCTGCTGTCACTGTTCACCTAGCAGTAAGTAGGTACCTGGGTGTTAGTCTACTAACACCTGCTGTCACTGTTCACCTAGCAGTAAGTAGGTACATAGTTGTAAAAGGACACAAGTGCAACTAATGTGACATTTATAGTGGCAACGTTTCGCTCTCCAGGAGCTTTGTCAAGCCGTTACAAACAGTACATGGACACAGAGGGTATATATAGGCTCAGAGTGAGATGCAATACTAGTGGTAGTAGTAGTAGTAGTAATACAATACCATATTGTATTACTACTACTACTACAACATATTACAACTACAACTACTACCACTAGTATTGCACCTCACTCTGAGCCTATATACTGTTTGTAACAGCTTGATAAAGCTCCTGGAGAGCGAAACGTTGCCACAATAATTGTCACATTAGTTGCACTTGTGTCCTTTTACTTTACA